GTGTGTGTGTGTGTGTGTGTGTGTGTCTGTCTGTCCGTCGCCCCCCCCCTCTCTCTCTCTCTCTCTCTATCTCTCTATCTCTCTCTCCTCTCTCTCTCTCTGTCTGTCTGTCTCTCTCTGTCTGTCTTTCTGTCTGTCTGTCTCTCTCTCTCTCTGTCTTTCTGTCTGTCTTTCTGTCTGTCTGTCTCTCTCTCTCTCTCTCATTCTGACAATTACTAGAGTATGCCGTCTCTCAAGATGCATTGTAGAGCAATTAAATGATAAAGATAAAGATGCGTGCATGTTGTAGAGTCTACCATTATAATATAATCTAATATATTATGTGTTTCCTTAAGTTTGTTTTGAAGCAGTGATGCTGTCATCACTTCGAGGCAAACCTAAAGCCCAAATAAAAAATCTAATCTCGACCAAAGTTTAGTCTCAGATATGATCTACCATAAACATCAGAACGTCTTCAAAATACAAGTAATTGAGAAATACGTTAGATCACCCCCCCCCCCCCTTGCGCGATAGCTTGTGAAAGAGATATATCTTAGCTATTACATGTATAGATTAATCATAAAACATGCCCCAACGACACTCAGCCTGCCCTGTGTAAGAGAGCCTAGTGTCACTCATGTGCCAGTAACGCCTGCACTGACACTGGTTCGTCAACCCACAAACACTGATGTTCAAAATGTGAAATTCAATGAGGAAAACTTTCAACAATGACTTCAACTTCTGATAGTCCATGTTTGCTGTTAGACTGCTCGTCAACGTTTGTAAGCGATGTACATGTGTGTATTCTTTTATTTGTGTATCAACGACACAATAACGGTTACAGTCTGCCGGGGAAAAGCAAGAAGACAGACAGTAGACAGACAGTTTACTTTTAGTTGAGTTTTTTTTACGTTCCTCGCAACTGCATAAGGTCATATGAGCGCCAGAAGATATAGAGGTGTTACAAGAGAGTAACAAACATAAAAAAGAAGGAGGAGAGATAAGGACATAGATGTTTGATAGGAAAGAAGAAGCAAACCACACCAGAGCACCCGCCAACCACCCACAGTCCCAGTCTGCTCCTTGACTGCCCGTCAATGTTTGTTAGACTGGGAGTCAAAGAGTGAATGTCCTGCGATGGTGGGTAATACTACTTTGCAGATGAAACCCTTTTAATCTCGGCTGGTGAAAGCCGAAGCTGGACTAAGCAAACAGGCGTGGTTAGTGTGTGGTCAGGGGTTGCTGAAAGTGAAAAGAGCGCTATTTGAATTGTGTCGCTGAGAGTATTCTGGGTAGTGGCGGACAAGGCAGATTTTGCAATGTTCTTTAAACACCGGGGACAAAAGGGGGCGGGGGGGGGCTTTCTCTCTCTTCGTGTCTCTCTGTCTGTGTCTGGCTCTGTCTCTGCCTGTCTCTGTCTGTCTCTGTCTCTCTGTTTGTCTGTCTGTCTGTCTGTCTGTCTCCCTCTCTCTCTCTCTCTCTCTCTTTCTCTCT